TTGTGTGTGGCACCAGGGTAGTGTTGTGTGTGGCACCAGGGTAGTGTTGTGTGTGTGGCACCAGGGTAGTGTTGTGTGTGGCACTAGGGTAGTGTTGTGTGTGGCACCATGGTAGTGTTGTGTGTGGCACCAGGGTAGTGTTGTGTGTGGCACCAGGGTAATGTTGTGTGTGGCACCAGAGTAGTGTTGTGTGTGTCACCAGGGTAGTGTTGTGTGTGGCACCAGGGTAGTGTTGTGGGTTGCACCAGGGTAGTGTTGTGAGTTGCACCAGGGTAGTGTTGTGGGTTGCACCAGGGTAGTGTTGTGGGTTGCACCAGGGTAGTGTTGTGGGTTGCACCAGGGTAGTGTTGTGGGTTGCACCAGGGTAGTGTTGTGGGTGGCACCAGGGTAGTGTTGTGGGTGGCACCAGGGTAGTGTTGTGGGTGGCACCAGGGTAATGTTGTGGGTGGCACCAGGGTAGTGTTGTGGGTGGCACCAGGGTAATGCTGTGGGTGGCACCAGGGATGTGTTATGCGTGACACTAAGGAAGTGTTGTGGGTGGCACCAAGGTAGTGTTGTGGGTGGCACCAGGGTAGTGTTGTGGGTGGCACCAGGGTAATGTTGTGGGTGGCACCAGGGTAGTGTTGTGGGTGGCACCAGGGTAATGCTGTGGGTGGCACCAGGGATGTGTTATGCGTGACACCAGGGTAGTGTTGAAGATTGAGACACTTATGCAGCATATGGAAATCTTTATTCAGGAAACGTTTCGCCACACAGTGGCTTCATCAGTCCAATACAAAGAGGAAGGCGTAAGGAGAGGAGGAGAATGAGGTAATCAGTCCCTCAGCCTGGAGTCGATGTGTTCAGTCCATCAATCTTGTAGAATGTACCTCCTCTCCTTACGCCTTCCTCTTTGTATTGGACTGGTGAAGCCACTGTGTGGCGAAACGTTTCCTGAATAAAGATTTCCATATGCTGCATAAGTGTCTCAATCTTCAACTTGTCGGTTTTTCAAAACCATTCATCACACCAGGGTAGTGTTGTGGGTGGCACCAAGGTAGTGTTGTGGGTGGCACTCAGGTGACTGTTGTGGGTAGATACTTGAGTAGATACAAGGTTTAATACATGGGTTAGTACTCGAGTTAGTACACGAGTTAGTACAAGGATTAATACATGGGCTAGTACATGAGTAGATGGTAGATACATAAGTAGATGGGTAGATTTCAGTCGACCAGTAACCTGGTAGAAGAGATAGAGACAGCATTGTGTAAGTCTCTTGGTGTAATTATGTACACTCTTTCCTTCAGGAAGACAGGTAGATGAAGAATGAAATATGTGCAACAATGGCTTCGTCAGTCCATTACAAAGAAGAAAGGTGGGAAAGAGGAGGACTTTGGGGTAATCAGTCCCTCAGTCTGGAATCGGTGTATTCAGTCCCTCAATCTTGATTGACGGACTTGGTTTCAGGTAACCTTACTACACACAGATACCATTGGTGAGGTAAGGTTTAGAGAGACAGGTAAACAGACACTGGGACTTCAGACAACGTTTCGGTCCTGAGACCTTGACTCCTTACACACAGCTTAATAAGAGAGTATATGTAGACGGACAGTGTAAGCGACACAGTGACCTGAAGAATCATATATTGGCATGAGGACACACAATGTGATCACGTGACTCCTGTGTTGTTAGCTAGGTGATCACGTGACTCCTGTGTTGTTAGCTAGGTTATGTTGTATCTGGTTCAATATTACGTATGCTAATGTTTTGGAAATTTTGTAGATTCCAGTGTTAGGTTTTGTGGTGTCGGTGATGGCGATCAGCGAAGCTTCCACACATCGTCAGATTGTTAGACAACGTTTCGGTCTGAGGACCGTAACGTTGTTTACGTGTTTTTCAAAACCAACTTGTGGGTATCTAGTACCAAGGTACCAGTACTACAATGTAAGTAGTGCTGTTTGAGGTACACAATAACTTATCTTGGAGAGGATACCACAATTTTGGAGACCTCCTTAGTTATGTACTGGACGTGGGTACTAAACTACAAGTTGAAGGCGTCGTAAGAACATAAGAAAGTAGGATCACTGCAGTGGGCCTGTTGGCCCATACTAGGTAGGTCCTTCACAAATCCAAATCTTAGGTCGTGAAGACCTAAGAATTTCCCCTCAGTGTCTTACAACAGGGACATTGTTGGACATCTTCAACTGTGTTCCCGAACACCGTCTGGAATGTGATAAATGGTTTTAAACTGATAAGTTGAAGATTGAGACACTTATGCAGCATATGGGAATCTTTATTGAAGAAACGTTTCGCTACACAGTAGCTTCATCAGTCCAGCAGAAAGGTGTAAGGAAAGAAGGAGTTTGAGTAATCAGTCCCTCAGCCTGGAATCGATGTGTTCAGTCCATCAGTCTTGTAGAAAGTACAGCATAGGGCCGTAGAAGTGGCTTACATCTTCCTGTTCTGTAATGGACTGATGAAGCCGCTGTGTACGACACGTTTCTTCAATAAACATTCCCCA